GGGGGAGAGGGCATCAGGTATAAAATCTGTACATCCAAAGAACCCGTTACTTTAAATTTATAGGTTTGACAGCCTGAAAGTTTCTGTGAGTGTTTGCTGAAAAGTTTTGTTTTATTCTAGCGGAACGTTTGATTTTTTTACTTGCTGATGTTTCCCTTTAAGTTTCAGTTCCTTTCTCCTGTAAAGTTACTTCTTGTGGGTGGTTGATGGGTGCTCTGGTGTTGTTTGCTCCCTCTTTCCTATCAAACATCCATTGTCCTAGTCTCCCTTTTTTTTCCTTGTATGTTCCTCACTGTCTTGAAATACCTCTAATTTTTGGCACTTATATGACAAAATGATGTTGCAAGTGCTGTAAAACTCTTACTTAATCTAAGAATCTCTATTAATAATACCTCTAATCTTTGGCACTTGTATGGCCAATTTTTATTGCAAGTGCCTTAAAATTCTAACTAAAACTAAAAGTGAGAATTTCTTCTAGTATTTTTTTCGGCTAATTGTTCTTCTAGGCTGGAGATATGATTTGTCCATGATATTGTATAAATCCTGTACTTGGCTGATAATAATGTTACAAGTTTTAAACAAAAAGGTCAAATTGTTCATACGGTACGTACTGAAAAGGGTTTTTTTCTAAAGTTTCAGGGAGCAAAAAAGGAGAGGAAGCAAAGGCGAAACCTGCAAAACTATCCCTGGCTCGTGCCCCATGCAGAGTGACTTCCCTTGATGGACACAGTGATCTGGTTACTTCCCTTGCTGTTGTTGGAGGCAAAGTTATCTCAGCAAGGTATTTGTGAGGCGTGCTGACAAAATGAGTTACTTCTCGCAATCCACAAATAGAGATATTGGCCAAAAATCTTCGTAAAGGTCATTTTTGTAGGATTTTTATTAATGCCGTTTTCTTTCACTGTAACATGCCTTTTATTATTTCATACTAATGTATTGTAAAAACTTCACCTATAGGTGTTGTGATTGCGAGGTAGAAAGACTGTACTTACCGTCTGGTGTCAACTCACTAGTAGGAGAAGATGTGAGGATCTGCAAGGTGGCGACCCGCCTGCGCTGGCCGGCTTAGATCGCGTCGTCAGGCCCTCAGAGGTCACTTCGCCGTCAGTTACGACAACGTCGACCACTCTGGTCTCTAGCAGAACTGAGACGGAACAGAAGGGGCGCACAGAATTCCCGCCTCGCCTTTATACCCAGGTTTTAGCGCCTCTAGTGTCACGGGGCGGCAACTCTGTTCGGCCCGCCCAGCGCCCCCTAGTCTCATGGGCCCGTAACTCTCAATTATTCAACTCTTCAATAACAGGTGTGACATATCTTTTCCCATAAGGCTTGAAACCGAGAAGTAACTCATTCGCAAACTCATATTGTCAGCTTGCTTAACATTTTTTGGTAGGTCGCAAACTATATTGTCAGCTTGCTTCACATTTTTTTGATTGGTCGCAAAGTATCAGAGACAAGTGACCCATCTCTGAAACTTGATTATACTCCTATGAATAGCCTGGTGATGTTGAACAATATTGAAATTAACTCCCATGGGATCGCGGATGACTATACTCACCGAGCCCGCGGGGCAGTGCTACTGACTGAAGTTGTCACTAGGCCATTCCCATGGGGGGGGAGGGAGATATTAGTATGTTCTTATGCTCAGTAGAATTGTAAATGGGCTGATGGATAAGGAAAGAAAAAAGCAGCAGTTCCCCCTATGTTGTTTCGGCACAGTGTGAGCAGGACATTGATAAATCAGACCATTTACAATTCTACTGTGCATATTCATTGTTCATTCTTTCAGGAAGCTACATCCCTGCATTCCGGACATGTCCATTGATGCTCCGTTGCTCTCCCCAAAATGGCACCGAGGGTCTTTCCACTGATTGTGCCAGTGCATATCTGGTTATACTGTGCATAAGAACATGTTACTATCCCCCCTTTGGGAGCGGCCTAAAGACAACTTCAGTTAGTAGCACTGCCTCTGTCTTGGGGGGGGGGGGGGGGGGGGAGGATAAAATACTCCAGACAGGTGTGTACATTATATAGTAGCCTACTTATTGTCACCTGAATGTTGTGATTGGTTGTAAATGGACATTTCGACAATCTGGGCTGTAGGGGACACCTATTCCAAACGATGGATGTCCTGTTTTTAACTTAATTATGGGGTTGTTTTGGGGTTGGTGATTTTTTCAGGGTTTTTTTTTTTTCAAATCAAAGCTTTTACTCTGCTTTTCATAATGTGGACAGGAAATATTTTACAAACTCAAGTCCACCCCACGGGGCAGTGCCACTGACTGTAGTGTCTTTAGGTCATTCCCCCCGGGGCAGTGCCACTGACTGTAGTGTCTTTAGGCCATTCCCAAAGGGGGGGACATTTCTCGTTCAAGCATATTAGAATTGTAAATGGGCTGACTCATGTCACGCTCATAACTGTGCCTGATCTACAACAGGGAACTGCTGCTTTTTCTTTCCTGATCCTTACTATTGTCATTTTCCTCTACTTCTTTTGTATGTTTGTCACTCTCTTGTGACCAGCTATTTCCGGGGTGCCTTGATAGTCGAAGCAGACCTTGTGCTGTTGAAGCTAGAGAGGTGAGCAGTCTAAGTCTGATTCCCTGTAAAGACTTCTCGTTGACACCCACCCCTTGGCAATCATATGACCTTATGCAGTTGCGAGCACCATAAAACCCTCTACTATAAAATAAAAAAAGAAAACCTCAAGTCTTGAAATACAATTTCAGTCGAGACACTACTCTGAGGTGCTGGGATATTGCGACCGGGAAAGAGGAGAAGATTTTTGGAGGACACACAGAGACAGTGACGTGTGTGATTGTCCTCGACAAATTGTTTAGTCGGTCTGTCGGTCAGTACCATTTCTTTCTTTCCAGTTTTGCCTCATGATTCAAAACTTTCTTTGGATATTTTTTTTTCCCTATTAATTATTTGAGCTTTGCCCTGTCCGGCCCCCCACCCCCACCTCCCTTTCACACTCACACACATACACACACACTCACACACATACACACACACTCACACCTACGCACACACACACACACACACTCTCACACTCACACTCACACATATGCATGCACACACACATGCCCACACACACACACACACACACACACGCACGCCTACTCATATTTGTTACTGTTGAATACCCATATAAATATCTATAGAACTGAAGTCAATTAGGAGGTGGACAGCTCGACATTTACAGTCTATTGGGTTCGCCTATACTATGCCTTGCCAAACAATTTCTGTCTAATGTAAAGGTTTCTTTGTGGGTGTGTTGGCGGGTGCTCTGGTGGGGTTTGCTCCCTCTTTCCTATCTAATATCTGTCGTTTTTATCTCCGTTTTTTTTTCATGTTTGTTACTCTCTTGTAACACTTTTCATCTTCAGCACTTATGTGACCTGATTGTGCTGTATGTGCCGTAAAATGCTTTCTAAAACAAACAGAAGTTTCTTTTTCATGGCCAGCAAATGCACATGATTCTCAAAAGTTGAAATTGATTCTCAAAAACTGCTAAGTGAAAGAAGCTGTTTTCAGGAAAAGATCATGCAGGGTTTGTTGTTGTAATGAGATGCAACGGAAAGGGGGGGGGTTATTTTTTGCTTTTTTATAAAAACAAAGTATAGGCCAATAAGAAAAATGTTTTAATAATCCGGATAAAATCAGTCTTTCCTTTTGAAATACAAGAAACAATTGTGTGATGATGCCGTGGAATCAGGCTGTCGTCAATTTTTTAGCATATGGAGTTATTGGTATCATCTTAAAGTTTGTCCATTTGTTTTGCTTTCGATGAAAAAAATACCCCTTTTATCTTGAACAGAATTCGAAATATTTGCAATTGAAGGGGGGGGGG